CCAGCATAGGTGCCATGCAGTGGCGCGTCTTAGCTGTCTCGAGGAATGATAGGACAGGAAATGTGTTCAAGGATATAGGGAACACATACTAGCTCCTTAACAGTTGTTTATGAAAAGATTAAAACTGATGGAGGGAAATCCTGAAAGGTTTAGGTCTTTCACATCAAGGAAACCTGAGTTTACTCAGCAGCAGCTACCGTGAAGGCCCACGTCCAAGATGACCCAAACCCCCCCAACCCCTGGGTGTGACCGCACCTGGCCAAGACCTAAGGGGCACCTTGGGGCTGCAGCGTGCACAAGATTGACCAGATTGTGCAGAAAGGCAAAAGATCGTTCAAAAGGGCCTTGGTAGCTTATAATTTAGTCTGTAAGAAGAATAAATTGACACAATCTTAGTGATTGCTGTGGTCCCTGGTGACCTCTTTATAGAATTGATTGTCTTACAATGTCCTCTTCTGGGCGTGCTTTTCTGTCCTGTTTTTGGTGAATGCAAAATCCACAAGGTGGAAACATTAAAACTGATCCTTTCCAAAGGTCTGCCTCCTATACAATCAACAGACCAAAAAAACCCTAGAGAAATTACGTTTTGCTCCTTTGTTCCATTTTTTTTATTTCTAGCTGTCATTCTAGCAATAACAATAGGACAACCTTATAGATGAGACTATCATTTTTAGTAGCTTTCTTTCATTTATGATTAATTCAGTTGTTGCAGACTTTATTAATCTAAGAGACAAATGAATTTGGTCTAGTGTTGTGTATTTGACCTGCTGGGCATTTCAGAGCAACAAGTAACTAAAACTATTTCTGCTGTTGTTGAATGTTGTTTTTGTAATATCGTTTATACATTGGAAGCATAGTCTACAATTACAAAGGCAAGGTAAAGTAGTTTCTGATCATAACATGAGTTACTGGGCAGAATTAACAATTTATTAGTCTTGGTCAGGGAAGGAGACACAGAAATTGTCTGTTTTTCAATCAACATCTGCTGAAAGAAAATACATTTTAAAAGAAATTTTTTCATCTTTTACACTCTGCCTCCAGGAAGTAGGAGAGCGATAGGAATAAGAGGGTCTTATCTGAAATTCGTTTTCCTCAAATTAAGGTAGTTCTATTTTTCTGTGTTCTTTGCATGTTTTTCAGAGGACTGCAGTGAAATGTTTTTGCATGTCAGAGAAGAGGGAAGCTTAGCTATTAACCAAATATAGAGTAAAGAAGGAAAATAAGCAAGCTAAGGAATGAGGAAGTGAATGGATTAAAATATTTCCATAAAGTATTTTTACTGTTTATAATTGTTAACTATTACTGTTAATTATTGATAAAGAACATTTTTCATGTATGTGTAGTAAATTTATCTGGAATAAGTGGCATGCTATTCCCCTGTAGTTCTTCCTGTCAGCCAGTTCTGGATAGTTTCTACCTCATCATCTATTTTACAATACTCTTTGCTATATCGGACTATCTCCTGCCTGAAATCTGTGTAAATAGGAAACAAAACTGATTCTCCAGCTCATTTGAAATATTAGCTCCTGTATTTTTCTCAGAACTGACGGCCTAATTCAAAGCGCACTGATGTCCCTAGAGAGGTTCCCATTTCTCTCTGCTCTTGTGGAATCCTGACATCAAGGAATTCCTGGTTATCCGTCCACTGACCCGGACTTTTTAGGCTGTAGGTCGATGCTACAGCAAACCTAGACCGAGGGCTCCTCTCTTGCTGTGGGTGTGTGATGCCAAATGCTGATCTGGCACATGCCCCTTCTGCCAGTTGATTTATTCAGCACTTTTGCACCCGTTTTCTGAGAGCTTGCCTTTTCCCGGCAAGCTTGCGCCAGGCAGGCATGAGCGTTGCACCTCTGTAATGTGCCAACGCAGGGTCAGGTGTGGTCGTCGTCCTGCAGCTGCCTGCAGGCCACCAGGAGCTGCAACTCCTATGCTCTGACTTGACTCAGCAGCTATGTGACCGTATGCTTACACCAGGCTCAGATCAAATTAATACCGCTGCGTGACCCATAGATGAGATATTAATAATGGAAGTGTGGATAAAATTTTCTGACTTGATGATTATTTCTGGATAACGATTCGCTCTTCTTCCTTTTTTTTTTTTTTTTTTGTCATTGGAAGAATTTTGATTTTGCCCCCTAACAGCAAATGTATATCAATGAGGAAAAGAACAAAAACTTTAGCTTCCATTTCCGCCTTAGAGAAATCCACAGGCAAATGTTTCCCAGGACCAAAGTCTTACACTGATTTTGTCTGTCGTCCCACTGAAAAGATCTCTCCAAAATATTCCTTTTGCTGTTTTTCCCCTTTCAGTGACCACTAAAATATCTTTGGCCTTCGTCCTGACACACCAACTTCTCTTTGCTGTTCTCAGCATCATTAAGGCCAACGATGATAAGGACAGAACCTTCAATTGCAAAGGAAAACCAGCGTATTGAGGGCATAATTTTTTGTATTAACAATCCTGGTTTGGCACTACTCCCTTTTCTGGTTTTGGTTTTGTTTTTGTTTTGACATATAAGTTCCAAGGAGCTAACATTTTATCATGTATAATCAGCAATCTAATTATACGGCTTCAGATTTTCATCTTAACCAATTGGATGTCATATGGCCTGTCTCTAAATGAAAATCTGACAAGTGCACAGCCCTTGATTTTCTGGATTGTCCCTCTTTTGATATAGTACATATATATATATTGGTTTTTTTTGTGAAACGTGTTGGAAGTGGCTTATGTGAGAAGGGCATTATATTATCATCTAGGGAAGAATCAGCATGTATTTGGTGCATTTCTGTGGTAGAATTGCTTTTTTCAAGGCTAAGTAGTAGTTATCTTATTCATTAGTTGATATATATAGGCTGTGCAAACTTCACAGGTGTGTTCTGTGTCAAATAGCAGCTGATTTTCTTACGCTCTTGTAACATGCTTCCGTGTCTTTTATATCCTTCCATATGGAAAGTCCTTGCTTCAATATAATGAACACACCCTTCTGAAAAATAGTTGACTGAACATACATCCTATACATATGTATGTCAGTGTATTAGAATGGAAGGAGTGATATAACTCTTTTACTTTTGCTTTTTTTTTCCTTTTTGCTAAGGGAAGGAGTGCTCATATTATTACCAGGAACACCGTATTCTTTTTGCCTAAATTTGTTGGCTGATTACATTTTAGCATCCTCTATCATTATAAAAGCCACTTGCTGAATAACATGCTGATTCAGATTTACTGAGTTCAAAATGAAAATTACTGTATAAGAGAGAAAATAAAATCCTTTTCCTATTCTTTAGATGACACATTAGATGTACACATCTTTAGGGAGAGCACAGAGGAGTCCCACAAAGCTTAAGAGCTGCTCTTCTGGTAGCCAAAATGGCAGTTTACTGCAATATTAGGAATTCTCCTTTTATATTTGCTTTTGGCAATTTCCAGTCCTTCTAGATAAATTTCAGACTGGGTTATCCTTGAATTTTCATCTGGATGCTGTATTTTTGACTTATAAATAGTAGAAACGAGTAAGTTATGTCTGTTAAAAGACTGCCATTTGATCTCATGGAATACACTTTGATGGTGATTCACAGGTCAACTCGTAACATCTGTAAATGAGCTTACACAGAGCTTTGGATACTGGTAAACTGAGGGCCATATATGTGGTCCTCAGACATGTGTCAGTACTTGCTCAGAGTGAAAAGGAGTGATTTGAAAAGAAAGAACAGAACTCTGAAACAGAAGCTAACATACCTATTTCTTTTCTTTTGTTAAAGAAATGGTTTTGTTTGAAATTTCTAGGGCGAAGTGCAAATTTTAAAGATAATCCTATTCGATCTGGAGAAGATGGAAGGATTTGGCTTTTCTTCCTGTCACTGTGTGGGCCTTGAATGCCCTAATTTACTTCTCTGTGAAGTTCATAACCCATCTCAACACCGTTTTAAAGAAGTCATACGTGGGTTGTACAATGAAAGTGAAAAGCACATTCAGAAAATTGTTTAAATTTTTATTACTTTTGACATACTTTTCACGTTACTCCTTTGATCTTGCTGTCGTGCTTTGGGGAAGAGTCTGAACACAGGGCAGCTGATAGAAACGTGAATAATCTGATTAGTCATTTTGAACTGCTGTGACAATTTGCTAGACATTAAAAAACTTCCAGATCATGACCTACATTTTAACTTTTTCATCTTGATGTGTTTTAACACAAGGGGTCTTGTACACCACCATCTGTGACCCAAACTAGGACACAAAGTACACAGAGCATTTTGCAGTCATGTTCCTCTGTAATCATCCCTTGCTACTGCGTAAGAGCCATCAGTTTGAGTCATGGCAGCAGTGATTAAAAGCGGATTGTGGCCTCTTAGAGAAGGTCAGGGATGCTCTTCTGTTTGATTTTGCTCGAATTCCCCTCCTCAGGCATCTCAGGAATGCTGGATCCCAGCCGTAAATCGCCCTGACTGCGGAAACGATGCAGCACGTGCGCTTCGCCACACCAGACCTACGGCAGGGGTGGTGATTCAATTTGCGCCCGTGCAAGCAGTCCTCGTGCTTTTTGGGTGGCTAGTGGTAGGCAGGATGGAAGGGCTTGCAATTGCTAGGCGCAGGGGTTTTTGGTAGCGGGTGAGATTCAAAACATGGTTGTGCTCCTTCCGCCTCTTCGCGTTGTCTCCCGTCTTCAGAGAGGGATTCATGGTAGTCTTTCATTATGGTTTGGCTGTCCCTCAACTGCTCTTTTTACCCAGACTCTTGCAGCAGTGATTTTTCTGGTGTTTAACCATGGTGTCCGGTCTTGCGTTCATGTAGTCCAGCCCATGTTTGCTAACATGCCTAATTTATTCTCCTTTAGAGTACTTCTTTTCATGTCTTCTGACTACTTCTGCCTTGCGTGGTTCCCCTGTTTTGTTCTGAACTGAATATGCTCAGTTCCAGGCACTTTTCCTGTTGCGCTGAATGACATGAGTTCTGTGTCCTCACCCGTGGGAGACAGATACTAACCTGCCTTGTTTATTTTTAGCAGGGCTTGGTTATGGACCCCAGTACAAGTCCATTGGAAAAGGCAGCTGCAACAATCTAGTAGTCACCAGCAGTCCCATGACAGTTCAACGGCTGGGACCTATTTCTCCTTCTGCTAATCAGGTCTCAACAGCATGCAACCAGATCAGTCCTAGCTTACAGAGGTCGGTGGATGCTTCCAACCTGGGTGTACCTCCATCTGATGCAAGGTCCTGAATTAATTGTTTTTCTCTTTGGTGCATAAAAAAGAGAGTATTTTCATTCTGTTGCCTTTCAAATGCAACCTTTTCAGATAACCGTAGCGGCCTAAGTGATACTCCGTTATGTCATGGGAAATAGAACATAATGTAGTTCACATCAGCCCTAATCATACTGGCTTAGATAATTCAAATGAAGTGTGAAATTTGTCCTCACATTTTCTATGCTTCATAGTTTTTTTGTTAGATAAAGATTTTTATAGGCACATGACCATATTTTTATACATAGAAAAAAAAGGACAAGAAATGCTATGGGCAATAAAAGTGGTCCAAATGTTAAGTCTGTGGCAGCAGTGGCCTTGCCAATGTTGTGCTGGTGCCTATCAAATAACACTAATGTCAGGTTAAGTAAACTAAAATCCCCTGCTAACAGTCCCCTCTTCTCATCAAGTACCGTTTCTTTCAAATTGTTTAATTGGTCAACAGATTAAGATAATTGGATCAATTGTGCCCAATCTGCACTCAGCCAGCAGTGTACTGCATCTGTGTTAGCCTTGGAGGAGGGTTTGTGTGCCTGAAAACTTGCTGATTTTCCCAGCTCTGGTGGGCAGTTTAATAAAAACCATGACCTCTCCCTGTAAACCTTGCCTTTTTTTTTTTAATCACTAAATCACATTTAAGTATTTGTTAATTAGTTTGTAAATGCTTAAACAATTTTTGAGATTATAGCTATCAGTATTATAGGCAAACAGTAAGGGGAAAATGTTTATTTAGACAACCTCTGTGCAAGTACAGTAAGTACATTGTTAGATATTAGTTAAACATACAATGAGAAAATATTCTAGAGTGTCACTTAGGAAGTTATCAGCTCACTTTTGTAGACGTGACTTCTGTGATAGTTGTCTGAAGTTGAAATGTAACTTTCTTATTTGCAAAAGGCAATGAGAGTTTTTATTCTGAAAATAATTTACGTTTTACCTCATTACTTTATTTCAAGACAAGGAACAGTCTTGAAAAAATTAAGATTGGTATTACTTAACTGGCAGAAAACCGTATTATAATCTACTGTAAGAAATTGTGTGTCATTTCTGCCACTTCAGTTGTGAAGACTGAGTCTCTTAGTACCCCTTTTTTTTCTAGTTTATAAAAATAATTGTTTCCTATATAAATGCATCATGGAAAACCATTCATGGCTGAATTGATGACAAATCCAACTACATACATTTGAATGCAAAATCAACATGATAATATCATTAAGTAATTGCTACCTGCTTAATAATCATAAGTATTAGGTATGCCTATATGGTTCCAGACACTATCAGTTTTACATGAATATATGGTAGTGTATACTATATCAGTATTGAGATGTACGTTTTTGTTTTTACTTTAACAAAATATTTACTAAGGGTGAATTGGAGTTGTAATTCTGTCAGAATCTGGTATCTAGCGTCTATAGAGTCTCTTTTAATGACTTATCAATTAAGAGGTTATAAAATCAGAATTTGTCACATCAAGAATGTCCGTTTCAGCAATTCTTCCGTCAAATTAGGGCAAAATAAGTTTTAAGTCAGGTTTTAATTCACAGGTTGTTGAAATACTTAATTTTGAATTGCTTCAACATTAAACTGCATCTGCCTAAGCTGCTATTGTGCCTTCCAAGCTTTTCAATTTAAATATCCCAAAACTCCATAATCCTTCATGGGCTGAGGGCCTTAGTTGGCCTGTAGTACTGAGGCTGCATCATGAACTGCATGCTGGCAGCTCAGTCCGAAACAGATTATTTGTTGAATTGACCCAGAACAAAATGTTTCATCTTGATTTTTACTGACGGAAAAAGTTGGCAAAACTAGTTTTGCTACAGATAGCATCAGATTTTGGTATATAGCCCAAGAAGGATAAAACCTTTCCCCCATCTTTTTGGCAGTTTTCCAAACAACTTTTCAGAGGAGGCAGTTACGCTTCTTGAAGCCAGATGTAATACTGCCATTTACTTTGATGCAAGTGAGAGAAAGACCTAGGAAAGATCAAAGCGTTCTTGGCTAATGAACAGAAAACATGCAAAAGGATAAGAAAACGTTTTTTCAGTCTTCCATGCTTCCTTCTAAGATTCTGGGTTATACTTGACACGGTGGCCTATGTACTTAGAGGGAGAATAGAGGGTAATTGCAGGAATCTCTTATAAATGTTCATAAAGATTCTGGTCCAAACTCACAGCTGGTTTAGATTACAGTAAGCACACATGTGCCAATTAATACCATCTGAGAATCTGGCACTGTTTTATAGCTGGCCCTTCATTTTCATATTAGGTGTATGTATTTTCTCTCCAAAAAACTGTTTGCTCACAGTGAGGGCTGGGTTTTAATGAAATGGCCTTTGTTTTGGGAGCTGGGTTCTTCGGTTAAAATGACTTTTGGATTTAGATGCTTGAGTGAGAACCAGGCTCCTTTGGATGATCTGGCCCAGAATTATTATGTACTTGAAATTCTGGGCCTTTTTTTAAATCTTGTCCTGTTATGAGTCCACGCAGCTTTTCTTTCCTGGCATGTGTGTGCTTTTGCATTAGAAATCTATGGCTTTTTAAGTGTCACCAGTCCCACTACACATCTGAACAAAATCCTTGACATTACAGAAATAGACTTGTTACACTGAGGCATGCTGTTTTCCCTACTCATAAAAGAGGAAAAGCTATTTTAAATAATATAGCAAACAAATACCTACTTAGATTTAATTTCTAGATATAAATATATAACCTAGGATGAAAAAATGAAACTTTACTTCTTTTTTTCTTGATCTACTGCAGACTCTGGATCTGTATTTAGGGTCACAGCATACTAGTATGCTTTAATTGCCCTATAACAAACTGTACTTTAACAGAGGCCATTGATAACAGACCCAACAGCCCGAATCAATTTTCTTCACAGATAATTAGCCCTTTAGATCTATATCTTATACAAGATTGACCTGATAGAGCTATCCTATTTTTCTCATTTTTCTCGATGCAAATTGTATTTAGCCATGTCATTCTGCTTTTCTCTAATGTTCTGTTTCAAAAGTGCCATTTTGAAAGCACCATTGATCTCCGTAGCAGCACATTGTACTAGTACTCAGTTCAAACAGGATGTTTTTTAGTTTTTCTGATACAGTAGATCAACAGTCCATAGCAAAGCAAATTATCTCAGTGCAAGGAGCTTTTGCCCATCTGCCCCGTAGTTCACCCCAGCAGGCTAGGTGATGTTTTTGAGCAATATTTTAGGCATGCATGAGCCGTGTTTGTGTAGCCAGAGGAGGCGTGAGAGCCTCCTCTGCAGGAGGAAGGTTCCCCTCCAGGGAAAAAGCACCAACAATGCAGCAGTGATTTCCCAAGCGCAAACGGGGCTCCTTGATCTCTTCAGGAGTCGTACGATGACACAGGCTTTATTCGTGTGGCACAGTCTAGCCCTTAAACCAAAATCGCCACAAATCCACTTCTCTTTCTTCATCCTGGCTGCCTCCTGACCACTGGAAAATGCTGTAATATTAAATATTAGGGGGAAAACATCACACGAGGAGTGTTGAGATAGCTGGGCAGAAAGAATAAGGTAACAAAGACACCAGGAATTTTCAGCTGTAAACTGTGTGGCTAGAATTGAGCGTGAAAAGCTATGGACATTTCTCCTGCTGGAATGACCTGACCTAGTGTTTTCATACATTCTTTCACCCTTGCTAATCTGGTTAAAAAATAATCCACCGATGTCACAGGTGAAAAGTTGACCTACCAAACAAAATCGTGTCAAGAATAGCTGATTTTATCATTGGTGGAAATTTGGTAAATACTAGTATGTTCACCAGGATTCTCTCTTGGGCAATTATTTAGGGTCCATCCTTGCTCTCTTGCGTTGACTAGTGCTATCTGAAATGAGATTCAGATCCCCAGTGTTAGCCTGCCACCAACATGTCAACTACGTAGTTTCATGTATTTCCACAGAAGCTGCAGCCACTGCAGGAAGGACTGCGGTGCAGATATAATTATAACTTGCGCTAGTTAAACCCAAATACCAGTCTTGACAGAAGATGGTCAGGCAGCAGGCCAGGCAGTACCATCATTCATGAATTATTACCAGTGCCATGTCAAAGGGTGCAACTCTGTCTTGAGAGTGAATCTTAATCAGATCTGTCCCAGATCCTTGTTTCCTGAACCATTCTTTATAAAAAAACTTACTGCTTCCTAGTTTGCCTTGAATAGAATTGAAACTTACTTCCCTGAGAAGAGAAAAAATAGTACAAGTGCCTCCTGAAGATGCTTGCCTTAACAGTGTGCATAATAGAGATAAGGAAGGGATGAGATTTGTTCCTCTTTATTTTCTTTGCAGTGCATAATTTCTCTTTGAGAACTTGCAAGGCTGTAGTAAAATAAAACTATGAAGTAAAAAAATTGTAAATAACTGGCAGTAGGAGCTTACCTTCCTACGTAGGTGTATCTTATTCCTTCTGAGTAGGCCTGTATGACTGTTTCTTTGGATTAATGCATTCAAATATTTCATATACAGTATACTTAAAGCTTTAAGAAATATTTTTGATCATTTAGTGTTTAAGGCACCTATTGCCAATTATTTGTCCTTTTTTAAAAAATTAATTTGAGCCATTGAGGTCTTCATATAGCAGCAGAAGCTATTAGTGTATCTTGTTTTCCACGTGAGAAACTGAGAAACAGTGATTAAGTGACTTGTCCATCATCAAAAGACTGTATCAGATTTAGAAGAGAATCCAGGTTTCTTATGTTCTTGAGCCACAACTGAAATTCTGTGTTTCTTCAAAAGTACCTAAACATAACAGGTCCAGGAATTAACCCCCAGGATATAAACTGCAGCTGCTTCTGTGGCTGTGTGAGCTGCAATTTTGTCTGGATATGGACCTGGTTTTTGTCACTGTTTCCACCCTCCAGAAGTATTAACTGATATACTGATAGCACCTCTGGTTGGCAGGAAGTCCAAGTCTGCCTGGACGTGGAACTGAAACATAAGGAGAAAGAATCAGTTACCCTTTACCCAGCAGTCTCTTCTGGAGCCATGAACCAGGGACCCTGGTTTTCCTTGCATTTCCTTTTTATACCTTTCTGTAGAATCCAGTAGTGTAATGAGCTGAAGAGTTCTTTTGTTAAGCTACACTTCAGACACTTTTGGGATAAGCAAGTTTCCTAATATTTCTAGGAAGGGCCAATAATAACAGCGAGATTTACACACTTTAAAAAAATTTCGACTTGCTGACTTGGAGGCATATGCATCATAAAATCAAAACTAAATAAACCCCTTCAACCAGTCCTTCTACATTATTAATTTATTTTGTTTGTTTTGTAAAGTTAGATATTATCTGTATTTGTAATCTGGAGCTATTTCAGTAAAGAAGAATAATATTTGTATGCATCACAATTGGCAATGTCATTCAGGTTAAACATTTATTCTGTATTAATCATTCTTCTTCCTTTCCTTTGCCACCAAAAAATACAGTCTTCTCAAAGCAATGTGAGTTTCATACAAGACGGGAATGTTAATGCTGTGCCTTCAGAAGCCCAAAGCTATTTGCAACCCAACTGATGTCACAATTTGTATTGATTTTTGTATTAGCGTATCAAGAACGTTTAGAGCAACTTTTCTTCGAGAACCTTGAAGTTTTTGAGTTAAGTTAATAGCTTAGTTAGTAGTTAATAAGTGTCGTTGTTATATATGCATTGTTATATATGCGTTGTTATATATGCATTGCCTGTGTGTGGCTGCAGGTATGTTAACTGACCATAGAAAAGTTTGAATACATAAAATTAGGGCGAACTTTTTTCACGCGTGGCCTTCGTATAATTATAGGGGAGGAGGGGGAGAAAACAGAAGAGCCATTGTGTAGTAGAAGTAGGAAGATAGCAGAACCATTGTGTTAGTTGTATAGTATGAAATTTGAGCTGTTAAGGTGTCTAATCACTGACTTGCTTGTCCTGCCTTTGTTGCAGGTCCCTCGTGTCACGTGAGCCGCTGTTCTCTGCAGCATTAAGCCTTTTGGAAAGTCAGTCAGCTCTGAGCGTTAAGCAAGAGTGGTCGCATGGCTACAGAATACTTCCTTCTCTTCCACCCAACCAAGGTTCGCAAAATGGCAGTGAGCTGGGGGACATACTAAATTTTCCACCTGGAACATCTGTGTCCAGTAGCACTGTATCTATTTCTTTACCATCCTACTTGTTTGGTATGGAAAATAGCCATTCCCCTTACCCTAGTCCTCGCCACTCCTCAGCCCGATCTCAACCCGCTTGCTCCAAAAAGAGAGCGCTCTCTCTCTCTCCTCTGTCCGATGGCATCGGGATTGACTTCAATACAATCATCCGCACGTCCCCAACCTCTCTGGTTGCCTACATCAACGGCTGTAGGACGTCACCAGCTAACATCTCCCCGCAGCCTGAGGTCTATGGACATTTTCTGGGCGTGAGAGGAAGCTGTATTCCCCAAACTTGCTCTGTTCCGAGCACCCAGAAAGGTCTTCTCATGGCTAACGGCAACATCACCCTTCCAGGGTACGCC